GCACTGGAAGCCGTGGTTGGTCACTGCCCGAATTGGTGTCTCTCTTGGCTTCACCAGGGCTTTGATTCAGGGGTGCTGGTCTTCTTGTTACTCTCAAGTTCGATGTCTAAGGTCACTGCCATCTGGTACCACTCCCGGATCTGCTCAGGAATCCCCCGGTAGGTGCAGGCCTGATACAGGTCATGGTCCAAGCCTTCCTTAAAGCAGTGGACGAGGAATCACTCCAGCCATGCCTTATTCTGCCTGCAACCTTTCAGAATTCTCGTACAAATTCCTTAGTCGGTTGGCTTCTCTGCTTCAGGTTGCGTATTTCCACCTCGGCTTGCAGGGCTTGGGACTCATCCTTAAACCTGGCACTCAGCTCTTCCAGGAAAAGGTTTATGTTCTCCAGCTCCTCATTGCTGCCACCATGTTCATCATCACTCTCTGGTCTAGGTAGTCAAGAGCATAGCAATTCAGTTGGGCCCACACTTGGTTCATAAAGAATATCCCCATCAAAAGTGGCTCTGATCGGCAGTGGGTTCACATGGGGTGGAGGCTCCCAGTGCACTGGCCACCAGCCAAGCCACTGGTACTGATGTCGCGGTTGAGATTGAGCCCATCTCTGGAACCCCCTCGGTTGCTCAACTGGGGTTGCAGCTCGTTGAAGACATGGGGGGCTTCGCCTGGGTCCTGGGCTCGATGCTGTGGCTGGTCTCAGGAGTGGGGAGCAGTGCGAACTATGGCAAGGACTCGGGCTCCAGCAAGTGGGAAGTAGCTCCATTGCCCTGGTCTCGGTTCTAGCTGAGTCTGTATAGTGTGCAATTGGGGTCACTTCCCTGATATCCAGCCGGTTGAACTTCTCTCTCAGCCTCTCGATCAAGTGACTATATAGCACCATCAGGTATTTCCACTCCCCTGACTCATCCCATCCAGCTAGACTCTTCACCCTGCACTTAGGCATAAGTTAGAGAGGCATGGGTAGAGATCAAGAGGAACTCAGCCTCCGTGGCCTTGGGGTGCTTTTACGCTGGAGATCTTCCTCGGTGCAGTAAAGATCCCTGACTGCTAGAGCTTCCTCCTGCATCACTCATCTGTCAGATTTGTCCATACAGATTTTTGGCTGTGCTCTGGTCAGCAGGACTCCGTCCCCAGCCTCAACAGCTGTCCGGGTTCCATCTGCAGGTGTAGCGCTGGGATTCGCTACTACTTCCTCCTGGAATCTTCCATGAGTCTTTACCGTTCTCCCAAAAGAATTGGGTAGACGATTGGGGCTCAGGACCCAGGGGATCATTCCTCAATAGCTTCCTATCTCAAGAGCAGTAAAAAGCTTTTAGAGAATTGGTTTAATGTCAAGGTTCCGACTAATGAAACCACATAAAGCAGAATTCCGCGGCTTGAAGTTTCCTCAAAGCACCTGTTTATTGGATACATAATATCGGCACAGTCAAAAGTGAAACCAACTCTGAAGTTTCCCTAGAGATTCAAAGCAACTAAAATACTCCCCTCTACGATGCAATAAATCATGCTGCCCAATAAGAGCAATTAGCAGGCTTCTCAAATAGTCTTCACTCCTCCTTCCTGCATCTGTGGGAATGATCTTGGTTCCCACGGAACTGCTTGGTATTTTGACTAGCAATACGAATAGCAACACTACTTCCCCCCTTCTCCACCCATCTATGTGGTAACTCAAAATGAAAAAGATGGCTTCAGCCAGGTTCATTTCAGAAGTTGACAATATGAATGTTAGAAAAAAAGTTCAAATGCCTTTATATGATATAAAGCATTTTCCGTCAGGCCTTTGCTTTGAATTATCTTAAAGTCATTGAGAAAAAAATTCCTAATTACAGTTTTCAGTGTATCTGTCAAGAGCAATAAAATTGTTTAAAGTCTTCCTAACAGAATAAAAAAATCATAATATAGTGACAATACTTAGAAAGCTTATTCAACTTCCAACATTTACTGTGGAAATAAGTATTAAAGTTTTTGCTATGTGTTAGTTGCGAAGTTGTGTCCGACCCATTGTGACCCCATGGACAATGTTCCTCCAGCTCTTCCTGTCCTCTACCATCTTCTGGAGTCCATTTAAGCTCATGCCTACTGCTTCAGTGACTATAAGCACTTAAAATTCATTATTCTGACAAGTTGATGCTGGATAACTAGCATCAGTACAAAAAATATTTTTATTTTTGTGAAATATAAATTGCCTTATAGATTAGAAGAGTTTTTTAAGCTTTAAATGTGGACTTCAAATCCGGAGTAAATACATCTGACCTCCAAATTCATTGGAATCCTACTTCAGTCCCCATAAGCATCAACACTGTTACAGGATGAGAGAATTGGGAACCATCTGCTATTATGTTCCTGAAATCACAAAATATGAAGCTCAATCTCTATAGTAGTGGTGTTGTAATACAGACATGTCAAACACAAGGCCCGGAGGCTGGATGCGGCCTGTGACGTGGTTTCATGTGGCCTGCAAAGCCATCCTGGAAACAATGAGGGAATGGTTCCCGCTGCCTTAGCCCTGGCCCAGGCTGCCCGGGAGCCAATGTACAATTTTGTGGTGGCCATCTATGCTGAAACGCATTCAGTCTTAGCTCCACAAGGCCATCTAGAAACAGCAAGACACTGGCCCCTGCCGCATTGGCCCTGCCCCCTGGGTGCGCACTGGGGAGGTATCACCCTTTGTGAGGAATGAAGAAATGCACCATTGCCTGGAAGTGGCCAGCAAATGGCCCTTACCTACTTCACATATACGGCTTGATGGGCTCTGGGAAAGGGGTTTCAGCAGGCAGTGGGGCGCTGTCCTCACAGCACCGACAGGCTGAGCCAGGCGGTCTGAATCCAAAAAGAAGTGCACCGCTGCTCAGCCCCCAGCCTGCCTGATTTTGGCAGGCAGCAAGGTGCAAAGCTGGCAAGCTTTGCATTGCCCGGCTCAGCCTCTCAGCACTGTGAGAAGAGCGCCTTGCTGTCTGTCAAAACCAGGCAGGCTGGGGGCTGAACGGCATTGTGCAGGTAACATTGACTCTCACGTTGCTCCTGCCATCCCCTCCTCCAAAACCTACCAAGCCAGATATGTGAAGTAGGCGAGGGCCATGTGCTGGCCACTTCCAGGTGATGGTGCATTTCTTCATTCCTCATGAAGGGTGACACCTCCCCAGTTGCGTTTCTTGCCTGTTTTTCTCCCTCCCTCATCTCAAATATTTTCTCACCATTCTGTTCGAAGGAAGGAAGGAAGGAAGGAAGGAAGGAAGGAAGGAAGGAAGGAAGGAAGGAAGGAAGGAGAGGGAGGGAGGGTCTGAGGGAAGTCCTGTCTTAGTTCTGCCCTGCTGCCCTTTCACCATCCCCTTGCCTCCTCCTGGGGGTCTCCCATCCTACTGCTAAGGAAACTTTGGATACAAAGCCACTTCTCCTCCCATGGAGAGGAAGTGGGCCTCCCTCTGACTTTGTCCTCATACCCATCATGAGCAACCTGGCTAAGGAGAGCAAGCACAGCAGCAGCAGCCTTGAGGAGGAGGTAAGTGCAGCTGGGCGCCCCCTTGAAGAAATGGGGTTGGGCTTGGTGCCGCGGGTACTCAAGGGCCAGGCTGGGCATTTGACCTCTGCTGCCCAGGGCTCTGGGAAGCCTGCGGCACTATCCAGCCCCCCCCCCTCGCATGGCCTGAGAGGAACAGTCCACTCTTCCAGTGGACCATGCCTTGGCGCTTGCCCTGGTCCTACCCCTTCTGCCAGAGACCCTCAGATCTGTCCGACTCCTGCCCAGGCCCCCACAGGCACCCTTGATGTGAATGATGTGGAGCTGGCCATGCCCACCCAGTAGGCCACACCCACTCCAGCCACGCCCACCCGTAGGCCATGTCCACCTTGGCCACACCTACCTGGCCCCCCAAGGACAACCGCAATGCTTATGCAGCCCTCAATGAAATTGAGTTTGATACCCCTGTTGTAATATATAGACTACAGGTAGTCCTTGAGTTATAACCACAATTAAGCTCAAAATTTCCATTACTAAACAAAGTAGTTGTTGTGAGTTGTAACCAATTTTATAACCTTCATTGCCACAGTTGTTAAATGAATCACTGCAGTTGTTTAGTGAGTTATGTGGTCATTAAGTGAATCTGGTTTGCACCATTGACTTTGCTTATCAGAAGCCAGCTGAGATTACAAATTATGATCACATGACTCCAAATGATAAATACATGCCAGTTGCAAAATGAACAATTTTTGATCATGTGACCATGAAGATGCTAGAAAGGTCTGTAAGTGTGAGAATCAGAAGTATACCAGGAGCAGGCAAAGCATCATGATTTGGGGGGAGATCTCTGCAAGAAAATTTTATCATTCTAAAATATGTTGCTGGAAAAAAATACTTGGGAGAAAATCAAGACATTTTTTGTTTGTGTGAATTGTATTTCTCAGCTAATTAGTTACTTAATTCATTGTGTATGTTTGCTTAATCTAATTGCTAGACTTCAGGTTATAGGAGTCTGTGTGATGATTAAAATGTCGAACAAGGCCTGAAAGAAAAATGATTCAAGTTCTCCTATGGCCATGAAATTTCCTAAATCATTTTTGGCCTTTTTTTATGTTACTCAGACTAGCCAATCTCACCAGGCTATTGTGGATATCAATTGGACTATGTATAAATTGGATTATGTACTCCATCTTGTTTCTGGTAGGAGATACAAATCATCACCATCATTTTAATGTCACAATCTCTCATGTACCTAGTAAAACATCACTTATGATCTAGCATCATAGTCACTGAACAGAATAATTCAGCTTCAGGCAAAGGTTTTAGGCCCCAACCCAACAACTGCCTTTTCCATGAGGAAGTGAATATAACCTCACTGACATAGGAAAATCGTACTGGTGTTGTAAACAGAGAAATAGAACAAAACAAAACAAAATTTTGTGCTACAAGGAGAAAATGAAGGTGCAGAACAATAATTTCAAAGCGCATTTCCACAAAATTCATCAATGGTTTATTTTTAGACATAAACTGAAAATATACTTACTCTTCCAGTTTTGCCCAAATAGCCAGTGCTACTCTCAGTATAATTTCTGACCCCTCAAAGAATACAGAATCCCAAATTTTTAAAACTGTATGGTTAGGAAGGCATGTAGCAAACAGGGTCAGGAACCACTGCATAGTGAAGACATTTGTAAGTGGGGGTTCATACCCACCTGAAACAGAAAAAGGACAGGAAAATAACCGCCTGCTGTCTCTTCTGCATATCCTAACACAAAAATGGATAGAGTACAGAATTGAAATACGATATCAAATTATATCATTGTGTTCAATTTCAACTTCTTACAAATTCAAAAAGCTAAAAGCAATCACTAATATATTGTAGATAATCATATTCATGGGCTGCCATTTTTAAATTTACAATACAGTATATTGACTTCATTTTAACAAATTTAGCATGCAGTCAAGCTGAACTGATCTCAGAAAAGCTAAACTGGGTGAGATCTGACTGATACTTCAACAGGAAACCACTTGAATCACAAAATAAAAGTAAACCATGTTAAAATATATTTGAAGCCTGATAAAAATAATCTTGTCAAAAATTCACGGGTTCTGCTCTGCTCTTTAATATTTAAAAATGTAAAAGCTACATCTGATTCAGAAAATCTCAAGACTTTTCTGGTTAATATTTAAATAGCAGAATTCATCAAATCTGTAATTCCTATATTAGATTTTTTTTGTCTACCAACTTATTTATAACTGGTTTTGACACATTGTTAGATCTGATTCAGAAGTAAAGGTTTCTACAATCTATTTCTAAGTTGCATACACATACATCAAAGCAAGATTTTTAGTTATCACCTAAGATTCCTGATATCGTCAATCTGCATATGTGGTTTCATGTTGTTGTTGTTAGTTGCGAAGTTGTGTCCAACCCATCGTGACCCCATGGACAATGTTCCTCCAGGTCTTCCTGTCCTCTACCATCTTCTGGAGTCCATTTAAATTCACACCTACTGCTTCAGTGACTCCATCCAGCCATCTCATTCTCTGTCGTCCCATTCTTCTATTGCCCTCAATCTTTCCCAGCATTAGGCTCTTCTCCAGTGAGTCCTTCCTTCTCATTAGGTGGCCAAAGTATTTGAGTTTCAACTTCAGGATCTGGCCTTCTAAAGAGCAGTCGGGTTGATCTCTTCTAGGACTGACTGGTTTGATCATCTTGCAGTCCAAGGGACTTGCAGAAGTCTTCTCCAGAACCATAGTTCAAAGGCCTCAATTCTTTGGCGCTCAGTCTTTCTTATGGTCCAACTTTCACAGCCATACATTGCAACTGGGAAAACCATGGCCTTGACTATACATACTTTTGTTGGCAGGGTGATGTCTCTGCTTTTTAGTATGCTGTCTAGATTTGTCATAGCTTTCTTCCCCAGGAGCGTCTTTTAATTTCTTGGCTGCAGTCCCCATCTGAGGTGATCTTTGAGCCCAGAAAAATAAAATCTGTCACTACCTCCATTTCTTCCCCATCTATTCGCCAGGAATTGAGAGGGCTGGATGCCATGATCTTGGTTTTCTTAATGTTGAGTTTCAAGCCAACTTTTGCACTCTCCTTCTTCACCCGCATCAAGAGGCTCTTTAGTTCCTCTTTACTTTCTGCCATTAGAGTAGTATCATCTGCATATCTTAGGTTGTTAATATTTCTCCCAGCAATCTTAATTCCAACTTTTGATTCATCTAGCCCTGCTTTTCTCATGATGTGCTTTGCATATAAGTTAAATAGGCAGGGCGACAGTATACAGCCTTGCCGGACTCCTTTCCCAATTTTGAACCAATCAGTGGTTCGATGTCCAGTTCTCACTGTTGCTTCTTGATCTGCATATAGGTTTCTCAAGAGACAAATAAGATGGTCTGGTACTCCCATCTCTTTAAGAACTTGCCACAATTTGTTGTGATCCACACAATCAAAGGTTTTTGCATAGTCAATGAAGCAGAAGTAGATGTTTTTCTGGAACTCCCTAGCTTTCTCCATGATCCAGCATATGTTGGCAATTTGATCTCTAGTTCCTCTGCCTCTTCGAAATCCTGCCTGTACTTCTGGTAATTCTCGATCCACATACTGCTGGAGTATAGTTTGTAGAATTTTAAGCGTAACTTTACTACATGTGAAATGAGTGCAATAGTGCAATAGTTTGAACATTCTTTGGCATTGCCTTTCTTTGGAATTGGAATGTAAACTGACCTTTTCCAATCCTGTGGCCACTGTTGAGTTTTCCAAATTTCCTGGCAAATTAAGTGTAGCACTTTTACTGCATTGTCTTTTAAGATTTTGAATAGCTCAGCTGGAATACTGCCACCTTCACTAGTTTTGTTGTTGCTCAGCTTTCCTAAGGCCCATTTCACTTCACATTCTAGGACAGGGGTGTCAAACTCAATTTCATTGAGGGCTGCATCAGCATTGCAGTTGTCCTTGGGGGCCGGGTAGGTGTGGCCAAGGTGGGCATGGCCTACTGAGTGAGCGTGGCTGGAGTGGGTGTGGCCTACTGAGTGGGCATGGCCAGCTCCACATCATTCGCGTCAAGGGTGCCTGTGGGGGCCTGGGCAGGAGTCAGACAGATCTGAGGGTCTCTGGCAGAAGGGGTAGGACCAGGGCAAGCACCAAGGCATGGTCCACTGGAAGAGTGGACTGTTCCTCTCAGGCCATGCGAGGGGGGCTTGATGGTGCCGCAGGCTTCCCAGAGCCCTGGGCAGCAGAGGTCAAATGCCCAGCCTGGCCCTCGAGCACCCACGGCACCAAGCCCAGCCCCACTTCCTCAAGCGGGCACCCAGCTGTACTTACCTCCTCCTCAAGGCTGCTGCTGCTGTGCTTGCTCTCCTTAGCCAGGTTGCTCATGATGAGTATGAGGGCAAAGTCAGAGGGAGGCCCACTCCCTCTCCATGGGAGGAGATGCGACTTTGTATCCAAAGTTTCCTAAGCAATAGGATGGGAGACCCCCAGGATAGGCCAAGAGGAGGAAGCAAGGGGATGATGAAAGGGCAGCAGGGCAGGACTAAGGGCTTCCCTTAGACCCTCCCTCTTTTTTTTCCCTTCCTTCCTTCCTTCCTTCCTTCCTTCCTTCCTTAGAACAGAGTGGTGGGAAAATATTTGAGATGAGGGAGGGAGAAAAACAGGCAAGAAACACAACTGGGGAGGTGTCACCCTTCATGAGGAATGAAGAAATGCACCATCGCCTGGAAGTGGCCAGCACATGGCCCTCGCCTACTTCACATATCTGGCTTGGTAGGCTTTGAGGGAGGGGATGCCAGGTGCAACGTGAGAGTCGATGTTACCTTGCAATGCCATCCAGTCCCCAGCCTGCCTGGTTTTGACAGGCAGCGAGGCGCTCTCCTCACAGTGCCAAGAGGCTAAGCCAGGCAGTGCGAATCCGAAAAGAAGCACAATGCCACCCAGCCCCCAGCCTGCCCAGTTTTGGCAGGCAGCAGGGCACTCTCTTCACACCGCCAAGAGGCTGAGCTGGGCAGTGCAAAGCTTGCCAGCTTTGCACCTTGCTGCATGCTGAAATCAGGCAGGCTGGGGACTGAGCAGCGGCGCACTTCTTCTTGGATTAATGCTGCCCACTGCCTGCTGAAACCTCTTCCCCAGAGCCCATCAAGCCAGATATGTGAAGTAAGTGAGGGCTATTTGCTGGCCACTTCCAGGCAATTGTGCATTTCTTCATTCCTCACAAAGGGTGACACCTCCCCAGCGTGGACCCAGGGGGCCGGGCCAATGCGGCAGGGGCCAGTCCCTTGCTGTTTCCAGACGGCCTTGTGGAGCTAAGACTGAATGTGTTTTAGCATAGATGGCCACCACAAAATTGTACATTGGCTCCCGGGCAGCCTGGGCCGGGGCTAAGGCAGCGGGAGCCATTTCCTCACTGTTTCCAGGATGGCTTCACAGGTCACATGAAATCACATCGCAGGCCGCATCCAGCCTCCAGGCCTTGTGTTTGACATGTCTGTTCTAGGATGTCTGGCTTGAGGTCAGTGACCACCCCATCGTGGTTATCTGGAGCATTAAGCTCGTTCTTGTATAAGAACGTTCTTGTATAATAAGTTTTGCCATCTCTTCTTAATCTCTTCTGCCTCTGTTAGGTCCTTGCCATTTTGGTCCTTTATCATGCCCATCTTTTCATAGATTCCTATTTAATGATATCATCTCAAACACCTTCTAATTTTAATTAGCATTTATGGTTTTCACCCAGATTTTTACATTTTTATTTTAAATTAAGAGTAAGAAAATTTATTTCTAAGGGATAAAGAAGAAAAGAAAGGAGGAAATATTTGTAGGGCTATTGCATACCTCCACTTTCCTTGTTGGCAGCTCTTTGGAGAGTATCCAAATGCTGGGACAACTTGGGAAGTTTCATTCTCAGAAGATCTCGGAACACTGCCATGTCAACAGACAGTGCTTTCAGATTATTGACAAAATAGCTATCAGGCAGTACTTTATCGATTAAGTAAATCATTATCTGAAAATCAAGCAGAAAAATGGGATAAAGATACAAGATAAAGTGATATCTTTATCATCCAAGCAGTGGTCTGTTTATATAAACATAAGTTATAAATTGCATCATAATTGATTCTTATATCCATACATCTTCATTTAGTCTTTAGGCGCCTTGTTCCTATACTATGATATTTTTAATAGCCAACAGAACATGATCTGAATAAAAATGTGGTCAACAGATATACTTACTTTTAACGCATCTCCCTCATTGCCTTCTACTACTTCCAGGATGAGAGCAGCAAGGATGTTAAAACCTTGACAATATCCTACAGATTTATTCCACCTGGCATAAGCCAACAACACTCTTTTCAATACCACTCTGTCTTGTTCTGCCTCTTGGCCACAATAAGAACTGCACCCAGTTCGATGAAGATCCTTAAGAGGGAATGAGAGAGAAACAATGAAATATTTCACATTTCTTTAAATACTATAAATTATGCCTCTGTATTTTTACTTTCTGAAGTCAACTGATTGCATATTGTGCTCTGGAATCTAAGCATATAAAAACATCCATTTTTGCACTAGAATGTTCAAGCAGCAAATAATCAGCATTTCAAGAAATAATTACAACCAATGAATATGCATTAACAATGTAGGAATTGTCAAATGAAAAAATTATTCTTTCTGTTGAGCAACTCTTCAATTCTGTAGAACGTAGAATGTACTTAGAATGTACGATATGTCTGACTAGATTTTATACTTTTCCCCCCAAGTATTCAATTAGCTATACTAGCCCAAATTAGAGTTTCCAGAATATTAAGGAAAAATCAGTTACTTTGTCCTTGTGCTATTTTTCTGATAAATAATGCCCTGAAGTTACTATTTTTTTCCAGCTAATAATATAGAACATACCAAGGAAGGAAGATAAGACTCAGAAACTGAGAACTGTACCTCAAAAATGTAAGTTTTTAAGGAGACATGTTAACAATGACAGAAAAGGAACTTCCAGTTTGGTGTCATGACCAGACGGGCAAAAGGATTTGGGGGTCTGGTTTCCTAGCCCAAATTCGCTCTGTCTGGAGACCCCAAGGGGTTGAAAAGTTGCGCTGGAGAGGCACTGAAGAGGAAGGGAAGCCTTGGGAGCTTGGAGCAGACAGCGGTTGGCCCAAACAAACCAAGGAACCTCTTCAAACGGACGGAAGAAAGACTGCTGGTAAATGCACAGGCAGCCCAAGTCATAGACAACCAGGAAAAAAGCACAGAACCGCAGCATGCTGCGGCATGCCACCAAACAGCTGATTGTCAACAACGTGCTGAGATCTGGGTGAGACTGTTTCTTATTTTTCTTCCATGTGGGCTTACAAATAAAAACCCCCTGATTGGATAAATTTCCAAACCAAAGACCCCAGGAAGACTTGGGAAGAAGGGAGTCAAAAGCAGTGAAAAATTTTAAATGGGAGGATTTCCGGTTCCAGATCCTAGCGTGTGCATCCGCGCACAGAAACTCCTCTCTTCGCCGGCTGCTTTCCCTCTGCCGGTAGATCCTTAATCGGGTTGAAAAGTCACCCTGGAGGGGCGACTACCATTGAGGAGGCCCTCGTCAAGTGTAGAAGGGTGGCAGCTCCTTCCGCGATCCGAGATTGCTCCTTAGGGCCGACGGAGAAAAGATCGGCCAGTAAAATGGTCGATCACTTTGCTGCTGTAACCGAAAGTCAGAAGAACATCTAAGTATAAAGAACCACCGTGGTTGAGCCAGGTGAGACTTCCCCCCCCCCTTAGCCCTTTTCTCTTTTTTTGTTTCCTGTAAAAAGCATTTTTGGAACTATTTCCCTTCTTTGAGAGAGCAGCGTTTGTTAGTGTGGGAAGAGAAGCTTTGAAAATGGAATGAAAATTAATTTTAATTGACTATTTTCTATTTCTATTTACTTTGGGGTCTTGAAAAAAATCTTATTATTGAATTTTATTACTGGATTTAGTTTATATGTGAAGAATATTATTTTTTCCTGATTTTGTCAATGTTATTTTTGGTGTCTGGGAAGAGATTTTATAGTCTACTGAGGACCCCCTGTGGAGAAATTTAAAATTGCAACTGTTTTTTTTTTCTGTTTGATGTGGAGATTGGTTTTGACCTTCAGATCATCATAAAAGGGAAAAGAAATTCAACAGCTGTTAAATCTGTGGGGATGGACACTGGCTAAATGTTATTAAATATAGGCTCCACTAAAAGATAACAGGACTGTCTCTAGTTACTATTGAAATGGAGAAACCCTATTTACAACTCAACTATAAACTTATATTGGAAAAAATCTATGAAGCCACTGAGCAAATATGTCTGCAAATAAAAGAGAGTACTACAGAAATAAAAAAAACAGAAACTCTACTTTGAACTTACAAACCGACCTTCAGACTTCATTTGACTATTCTACAGACCAAAAAACAACAGAAGAGGAATTAATCAACATTAAAGAAGATTCTATGTCATTCTATACACAACCTATTGAGACTCCTGATGATCAAAAAATGACTTTAACTAAACCATACACAATTTCAAAACTAATAGAAATGGACGTGCAAATACAACTGATTGAGAACTATGACAATTTTAATAACCAACTACTAACCACAAAATTGGACATAATTGAGTGTCTTACTGAGCAGATTCAAATGTTGAGACTTGAACTTTTAAAACAACAAGGGATTATCTACAAAGGAGTCAGGTTCCTAAGACAGAGGATGCTCTTTCTTGACTCAAATGATACCACGAGGAATAAAGAGAGATTTATTTCTTGATATAGAGCAGTGGTTCTCAACCTGTGGGTCGCGACCCCTTTGGGGGTTGAATGACCCTTTCACAGGAGTCGCCTAAGTCCATCGGAAAACACATATTTCCGATGGTTTTAGGAACCGAGACACCGCTCCTCTGTCTCCAGGCGGGTCCACCCGCTCAAACCCCTCACTCTAATTATCCCGTTGCACCTTCTGAATCCCCTTCTCTAATTTAATGTGCCTGCAGTGACCCGGTTCGAGGGTGTGGGGTGTGGGGGGGAAGGCTCGATTGAGCTGTGCCCGTCGCAGGACCACCGCAGCCCCATCTTATCTCCCTCCTGCTAACTGAGCCTCGCCAGCCCAACAATGCTATATATATAGCCTGCTAGCCGCGGACTCGGGATCATCCAAGGGGCTTTAAGGAAGGGGGAAACTGACCTTATCTGCAGGGGTATGTGCAAAGCTGTATGTGTCCAAGCAAGTTCTCCAAGAGGTTCCCTCCCCCTCCATGGCGAGGACGAGAGAAGCCAGGAGTGGGGTGAGCTGGAAGGAGGGGAGAGGCTGCGACCACCAAGATCTCCTTCTGCTCAGCCAACCACGGGCCCCCTTGCCCTCTTCTCCTCTATGGCACTAAGACCCCCCACCCACCCCATCTGTCTGAGTCCCTCCACTGCTTGCCTTGCTCAGCTATAGCAACGCCTGAGCTGCAAAATCCAGAGAGTCACTAGGCGGCGGCTGCGCGACCCCCCAAACTCTTTCGTTACCGATTATAGCATCGGGAGTTTTGCAGCTCCTGCCCTGCCCCATGGCATGCGATCTGACATCCCGACAACTGGCAGTCCAGAAGGTAGGGCAAAGGGGAGCTGCCTGCCTCCTTCGCTGTTATTTCTCCCGCTTGGTGGCTCCAGGTCCCGAAGCGTCCCTAACACCTCCTGGATTCTGGATCCAACCAGGGGCCGCTTTCTGTGCGCGCTTCTGCCATGGAGAAAGCAGGCAGGGCCGAGTGAAGGGCTTTTCTGCAGCACTCTCCCCATCTGTTTCATGGAGTGGAAAAGGGGGGCAGGCTTGGCTGCAAAGGTGCTGGCTGGTTTTACTGGGAAGGGCCAAGAGGAAAAGGAGCATCCGAGCCCGCAGTGCCAGGTACAAACCCCAAATCGCCTGTTGGACTCGGGCCCCGCGTTCCCCTTCAGTACCCCGAGGCTTGGTGACAGCCCTCCCGCCCCAAACTGGTCAACTCAGTCCTGAATTCAAGTTCAGTGGCATAACTTCCTCGGAGAGCTCCATGGTAGAGAAACCTGCAGGTTGTGCTCTCCAGCCTCCCAAGCAAAATGGAGCGCAAAATGGTCCTTAAAGGCAGGGCAATGCTGGTGTGCAGACTGGCTTCTAACCACCATTTAACCTCCTCTGCGGGCCTTTGTGAACCCAGCCGTGGAGCTTTAGCACTCAAGAGGCTGTGAGAATTCAGACAATTGGAGGCATTGTGGAAGATGATCTTCGTTGTGCTCTTGCAAAGACTGCGCTGAGAATTTCTGAACTGGTGAGAAAGAAGCAATCTCAATCTTCGCACTGACATTGGCTTTTTATACATACTGTCACAAAATGGAGTAATGTAGTTTACTGTTGTTATATTAAGACTGTTACCCATGCTACACCATGCTTCAAGACAAAATTTCATTTATTTGTAATTAGAAATAAATATTTCACAATATATAATTACATATTTTTGTGATTAATCACTATGCTTTAATTATGTTCAATTTGTAACAATGAAAATACATCCTGCATATCAGATATTTACATTACAATTCATAACAGTAGCAAAATTACAGTTATGAAGTAGCAACGAAAATAATTTTATGGTTGGGGGTCACCACAACATGAGGAACTGTATTAAAGGGTCGCGGCATTAGGAAGGTTGAGAACCACTGATATAGAGGCTCTGTTATGGAAACCTGCTTGGCACAAAAAGAAAGCTAGAATAAGACTTAAGAGTGTAACCTAAAATTGTACGCAATGGGTTTAAAAGGCTTTTTAGACACAGATTGACTCAAGGTTCAAGATTGGTAAATAAGGCGTTAGAGATCCTGATTGAATAAAGATTAATTAAATATGTGAACTTAGTGAGAAGATGTTTTTTCTGTATTAATATGTTTGTTGTGGATATAACAATTATTCGGATCGGATTTAAATTTTACTGAGTGGGTTAAAAGAGTTTTACATAGATATTGATTGATTGATACAGATTTAAAATAGAATAGAAATGTATTTTTTGGAGTAATATTCTTGTTTTTAGGAAGGATAGCTATTTTGTAATAGAAGGAGAATAGGAGGGATTTTTGATAAAAGAAGAAATGATATTAATAAATGAATTACTAGATTAAAAAATAGAATACTTGTAGAAAATATAAGAATGTTATGGTTGAAATAATATGTATATTTTAGAGATAAGGATTATGTTAAGGAAAAAGGGAAAGTATTAATATGTTTCTCTAAACCAAATTGGAATATGGTAATTGTAAATAGTAAAGCTTAAAACAGGATTTGGATTTATATAGATGAAATGTTATTGATGATTGTTTTGATTGATTGAACTTTATTGAAAAATACATTAATTTGAGTATATTATATTATTTGAGGGAAATAGAGAGGGAGTCTTTAATGATTTAATC